CCCGCCCCCCCCCCCCCCCCCCGCCCCCGGCTTCTTCCGCGCAGTCCCTCATGCTTGTCCCTGTCTCCTGTATCCTCAGCCTTAACCAAAGCTGCCATCTGGCCTGGGGTTTTTTGGGGGGTTTGGTTTTTTTTTTTATTTTATTTTCAGGATCCAAGAAACAGACACTGATCCGTTTCCCAAGGCAAACGCACACCCTGTGTACTGACTTCCAGCCCCACGCCGCGCAGCCCTGCCCCGGCTCCCCGGCGGTCACGGGGTGCCAACACCCCGGAGCCAGAAGACAGGGAGATGAAGGGTCTCATCTCCTCCTGCTCCCGCAGGGTCATTCCAAGCAGATCCCACCTGGCAGCACAACGTGGCTGGGGTGTTTTAAGACAGTCTGGAAACAGCAGTTGGATGAGGAGTTTGGAACTGGGACCCCAGCACCGCTGTGCTGCCGGGGCCTTTCCGGAGAGGGAAGGGCTGGAGAAGCAGGATGCCTCGGGGGTGATGGTCCCATCACTACTTCTCTGTCCTAAGCTGGATGCTGTTTTGCAGAGAGCAGCTGCTGTTCTTGGCGTCTCCTGTGCAATTTCAGAAGGATCCCATTGCACCACCCCCCAAAAAGAAAAGCCAAATCAAATTGAAGCAGCTGTATTTTATAAGCATCTCGGCAAAAGGCAACAATTCCTAACTGAGAGTTTCCCGGGTCTCCCAAGCTCACAGCAGCGTGGTGGCCTCTGAGACCAGAGAGCTGCCTCTTCCCCTGCTCGTGGGCACATCCCTGCAGAGCTCCCGGGGACCAGGGGAAGCCGAGGCATCCCAGGAGGGTCCTGACCCCTGGGGAGGCTGCGGGCAGGGGAGAGGGCTGCAGCGGTGGGCTGTCACCGCTGGGTAGCCCCCCGGCCAGCAGCACTGGGGCAGGGGAAGGGCAGCTACACGCACTTGGGTTTGGGTTTGTAAAGGGGGAGGGGAGGATTTGGGGGAGGTACAGCTGGGCTGCAAGTGCCACCCAGCCAGGGTGGCACTGCCTGGGTGCCGGGGTCTCGAAGATGGATTTGGGGAAGGTGCAGTTGGGGTTTGAGAGGCAGCTGGGAGGGGGGAGAGGGCAGGACACCCCCACCTCAGCCCTTCCTTGGCAATAGGCTCCGGGAGGGAGCCAGGCTTTCTGGTGGGGGGGCTTGTGGACCAGCCGTGTGCTCAGTGTACGTATGTGTAAAACCATATGTAACTAGTCATTGAGTTCTTTATTTTGGGGTTGGTTTTGGTTTTGTTTTGTTTTGTTTTCATTGTAAAGCCATCCCCTGTTTTCAAGGGGGGGGCCGCAGGGGGAAGGCTGGGGAGAGAGGCATCCCGGTTTGTAACACACATCTGCCGCTTCCCCTCTTCTGTAATGAGTTTAAATGATTTAAAAAAAAAAAAAAAATTGAAATATCGGAGTTACCTATCTTTGCCCAAAGAATCCCAGTTGCACAAAGCGATATTCCGGTGTGTCGATGATTGTGTGTCGGTGTATATTATACAAAGAGGTACTTGTCACTCCCGTTTGTAAACTACATTTGACATTAATTAAACAAGTATAAATCTTCTCGGGTGCTTCCCGCCTTTCTGTGTTTCCCTTCGCAGGCGAGAGGCAGCGGAGGAGATCTTCCCCCGCCCCCATATGTCTCAGCCCCTGGATGTGGGTAATGTCCCAAAGGGGAGCACTGGTCCTATTTTAGGGTGCAAGGACAGATGCCAGGGGATGCTGGGGTGGGACATCCCACCCCAGTATCCCCCTGCAATGATGCATCTCTGCCCCACCGTGGATGGGGTCCCCCAACTTGTCCCCCCCGGCAGAGCCAGGAGGGCAGGGTGAAGGGCACACCTCAGGGGACACATACACACACACACACCCCCCATAATGAAGTCTCGTCAGCTGCATTAGTTGGGGGCAGGAGGCGCCCAGCCCCAACAGATCTATACGTCCTGCATTAGGGGCCACCGGCGTAGTATAGGGTTACCCCGGCAGCAGGGACCGGGAGGCTGCTGTGGCAGGAGGGGGGGTGGAGGTCGGGTTCCCCCCCGGCGTGGGGCTGGCGCCGACGCTTTTGGTTTACAAACATTTTGCAGACGAGTCGATGGGGTCTGTAACCCCTCCCCATGGCCATGTCCCCTGGGGACGGGGTGCTGAGGGGGTCCTCAGGCTGGTGGGGGGTGGGCAGCAGGGTCCTCTTTCCATCTCCAGTGGTAAGGATGGGGAAAGGAGTGGATTTGGCTGCTTATTTTTGGCTGGCAGGGAGCAGCAGGGCATCTCAGCAACTCTTGGGTCCTCCTTCAGCCCAGAGGAGGCCGGAGGCCCCCCCATAATGAAGTCTCGTCAGCTGCATTAGTTGGGGGCAGGAGGCGCCCAGCCCCAACAGATCTATACGTCCTGCATTAGGGGCCACCGGCGTAGTATAGGGTTACCCCGGCAGCAGGGACCGGGAGGCTGCTGTGGCAGAAGAGGGGGTGGAGGTCGGGTTCCCCCCCGGCGTGGGGCTGGCGCCGACGCTTTTGGTTTACAAACATTTTGCAGACGAGTCGATGGGGTCTGTAACCCCTCCCCATGGCCATGTCCCCTGGGGACGGGGTGCTGAGGGGGTCCTCAGGCTGGTGGGGGGTGGGCAGCAGGGTCCTCTTTCCATCTCCAGTGGTAAGGATGGGGAAAGGAGTGGATTTGGCTGCTTATTTTTGGCTGGCAGGGAGCAGCAGGGCATCTCAGCAACTCTTGGGTCCTCCTTCAGCCCAGAGGAGGCCGGAGGCCAGGGTGAGGGGCAGGAAACCTCCCTCCCTCCCTCACCGCCCGCCCCCGCAGCCGGCTGCTAATATTTTATTTAAAATATCTTTAGGAAACGGAGGGCCGTGATGTATCGGATGTATTGAGAAAATGCTAATGTGTAATAGCGTGTGTCAGGGGCCTCGTTCATCACCCAGTGCCGCCTTCTGGGGGATCCATATCTACTTAACAGTAATGAATGAGGGAGCCCACCTAATGACAGCCCGCCAGTTTGTTATGGAAATGAGGCAATCCCATTAGGCAAAACACTTAATTAAACAAACTGCTCGGAGAGGAGGCCGGAGCAGGATGGGCACAGGCCCTTTGGGGAACCAGGGTGGGGGAGTGGGGGGGTGGTACCCGGCCCCCCCACATGTCAGGTCGGGGGCACAGAGGGTGCTGCAGCCCCATAGAGCCACAGTTCGCATCCCCCTCTCGTCTCTCCGGCACGTCGATGGGCGCAGAAACCAAACACAGATTTCCAATCAAACGTGTGTACTTGGCTCCTGCTCTATTGACACTGAAGCAAGAAGGGCTCAAGGTTAATTCCTTATCAATACCCTATTGTCAGCTCATTCATCACCCAGGGAGGGCAGGGGCTGCCCAAGCTCTCCCTGCCCTAGCCCCCATGGGTTCGGGAGGGTGCCGTGCACCCCTCTGCCCACCCCAGCCCTGCCCAGGTGGCCCATCTCCGGCCTGTGGTGCTGGGGACAGACGTGCAGCCCTGTAAGGATGTGGAGACGAGGGGATGAGGGCTCAAGTTCAAAGGGAAGGGGATGGGGGGATGCCAGGCAGGCGAGCCCCTGCCTCCCTTGCCCACAGTGGGGCTGTGGTCCCCAGCTGTGCTATTCTGTTTTCCAACTGCCCCCCAATTTCCCAGCCCCATGTTTCCGGGGGTCCCGACAGCCTTTCAGGAGGGCAGCTCTAAGTTCAGCTCCCTTCCCAGGGCTGGTGGGTTACAGGGAACCCAAGAGAGCTCCACAGTCCCAATTTGTGGGGATTCCAGAAGTTGGACCATGGTCTGTCTAACCACATTATTGAACAGATTTGCCTAAAAATTAGATAGCCCTCTCTGGGTGATGGAGAAGGAAATGGTGCAGCCTGGCTGGCCGATGTGGGAAGGGCAGTAAAGCCATTCCTGCCGTTAGACTTTTCATTTTAACATTCAGTTAAAGCTGAGAAATAGGATCCAGTACGACTTCCAGGGACTTGGCAGCTGCAGGGTTACATGCCGTTCCATACTTATTCATAAGCTCTGCTTCTCGACACCAGAGTTTGTTCTTTTTGGTTCTTTTCCTTGCCTCGAGAAAGGAGTTTTTGCAGGAGATGCTCTCAAGCATGCAGAAGCTGCACTGTGGGAGCCTTCTCCAGCATCTGCTGTACTTGTCTTCTGAACTAGACATCTCTCCACGCAGGAAAGAGGGTGCCTGCTGCCACCTCGTGGAGCCCTGCTCCCTCCCGGGCCCGAGCATCCCATGCTGCTGCCGCCAGGGAAGTTGGCACAGCCGCCCTGGGCCAGTGCCCTCCTCCATCACCTCCAAAGGGCGATGGACACCAGCCTCACACCTCTCCATCTCTCTTTACAAGCAGCAGAACATGGCATTGGGTTGCTCGTTTCCATTTCCAGCCATCCACACTTGCTTTTCCACCAGTGGCAGAGCTTCACACGTACAAAGGTGGTGCCTCAGCCCATACGCAATTTGCTGGCCCAACACACAAAAGGCAACGGCAGACTTTTAAAAGACCTTTATTAGGTGCGGACACAGGTCAGTCTTTGCCCAGGAGCTTGCATTGAATTACTGGCACCGCAAGATGCTCACCCACAGCTCCAAAACATGACCCCCAGCTGGGCTGGATCATTCCCCCAGTCTGCCCAGGTCTCCCAGCACCACAGCGTCCCGCCATTGCCTGTCAGCAGCAGCTCAGCACCCTCCAGCCCAGGCACACCACCACCCTCACCACTGGCTAAGCAGCATTTTTCTTCCTTTAAAACCTTCCCCCAACATCACTGCTGCCTGGGGAGCGAAGACAGCACAGGGGAGCGAGCCAGCTCCCTTGCAGGAATCACCCACAAACAGCTTCTGCAGGTGAGGAAAGGTTAATTTGTGCTTTTGCGAGATGGACCGAGCTGGGAAACATGCAGAGGCAGCAGCTGGCCTCTGGGCATCCTTCTCTGCCACCACTGCTGGTGTTTCACCCATGCTGCTCCACCAGCTGCGCCCAAGGACTGGACTGCAGCAAATCCTGCTGCGGGCTACCCCGGCAGAGATCGCCAGTGCCACATCCCGCTCCCCACCCACAAGGCAAGCCCAGGGACGCTGTGTTTTTCCTCCCAAGGAGTAGATCTGCAATACCTCTCCCATTCCTCGTCTCAGAGATTTACTTGGATTTACCACGATATCCCAACCTTTGGCTTCCACTGTTCAGGCTGAAGGTCTCGAGGAACACAGTCTGCACCAAACTGTGACAGTTTAGCAAGGATTAAGGGTTTGAGGCTGGTGGTTTGTTGGGTTTTTTTTTTTGTTTTTGTTTTTGGTTTGTTTTTTTTTTTTAAATCCAGTAGTGCTTGGATCAGTTCTTGGCCGTGTGCCTTTGGGCTCCCAAGTTATTAACCTCCTGTTTCAAATAGCAAGCAACAGAAATAAAGAGGGCAAGCATACATGCAGTATAGGAAAGAAGAGTGCAATATATCACAATACATTTAACACACTGCTCATAATCATAATTAAAACTTCCTGGGATATAGAAAACAAAAGCCAAGATTGGTCCTGATGACTCTCTCTGTAAATCACCGACTTACTCGACATCCCCCCTGCTCTTTGAGAGGTGTGTACAGGAATTAGCCCCAAATTTCAAGTCAGTTTTGCAGCAGTGGAAACCCCTACGAGCTGTCTCCCGCTTGTGTAACACAGGGCACCTCCAACTGCGGAGCTCCAGCAGGCAGCACCCGCTCGCTGAGATGGAGCGGATGGAGATGGAGCATCCCGAGATGGGGCAGAGCTGGGCTGGGCTGGGGGAGCAGCAATCCTGTCGGTGGGGAGGTGAACATGGGATGGAAGGTGTAGCTAACATGCGTGGGGCTCTTTGCCATCCAGTCGCAAAAGGACAGAGGGTTTAGCTCCAGCTCCTGCAAGCCACACTCCTGAACAACCCAAGTCCTTAAATAGAAGTTCAACACCCGTGGTAATAAAGAGGAACAGCAGATTCCCAGCCCAGCACAACTGTATTAATTCAGAGTATATTACAGAGTGTTTAACTGTTCTGTAAATACTCAACCCATAGAAACCAGCATGAGGGCAAGCGCTAGTTAAATAACCTTTATCACCTCTGCTCCCTAAGAGTTTTCACAGTACCACAAACAGGCTGGACGCTCAGAAGACACACTCCAGCTCTCCAGGAAGGCAGGCAAACAGATCACAGCTCAGGAGTTACGGCACTGGCAGCGCAAACCAGTGGCCTGCTTTAAAAAGCTGGCAGATCTCTGATGGGCTTCCTAGGATAGGGGACTGCGTCTGGATTTTACAGGTCCAAACCCTAGGAACAACAATTTCTTCATGAAAAGCAGCGAGCTGACAGCTATCTTACCGCACGGTAGCCCTCACAGCTCATCCTCACCCTGGAAGCTGAAACTGGCATCTGACCTACAGAAGACTGGACCCCAAAAAACAAGGGCTCCTGTGCCTGGAAGCAGTTTTCACTCGGAAAAAAGCGAAGACAAACCAGGCCATCAGCCCCTCTTCAGTTAATTCTCACCTATCCCATACATCCCAGCCCACCCTTTAAAACCACGCCCAAGGGAGGGTTATTCTTCACTTTAAAGAAGCGTTGCCACACTGGCCTGCTAGAAACAGTTGTGCTGGCCACTGACCACAACTCACCCTGTGCTGCCATTTCTGAGGTGTTGCAGGTCTCATTTTAAACTTCCAAATTATTTTAGTGCTTCCCAAGAGACCTCCCTCCCCGCATTTCGATTCAGAACAGCAAGTGCTTTGCAACTGAGGATGAGAGCACCCCCCAAGGGTGGGCAAGACAAACACAGCAGCGCACAGGCAGCAAATATCTGCAAAAAATCCTTGTGCTTTTCATGTTCTGACCTCTCAAGGGCGGCCCCTTGTTCAAACAGGCCCATAGCCCTCCAAAGCCTGTTTGCAAGCAACGTTTCACTAGGAAATTAAAGTCGGCTAATCCTGTCCACCATGTTATTAATTAGCTTGCAATGCTGTGACACGGTGCTAACACGTTATTAGCAGGCTCTCCTCTCTCCTTACCCCAACTTCTCCCCCAAATAAACAAGAAAACCCAAAACCAAACATGGCTGAAGTGCAGTGCAATGAGCTACTTTTTCACCAGGTGGAAGGAATTAATTTCTTGTATTACCAGCACACGCTGCACAGACAGCAAAGACTTATCATTTGAAGAGAACATTATGAGGGAAAAACATCAAATTTCACGGACATTTGTGGGCTGGAAGTGATTTAAGAAACACCCAGTATAAATCATAGCTCGAAGAGACAGCTTCATTTTTCTCTGTAGTTCCACCTTTCTATTTCTGAGGTCTTTTGGGTTACAGCTGTGCCAGTTTTCCTGCATTTCCAGATGCACAATATAGGCTGCTCAAAGACACACAATAAAAAATGAGCGGTTCTCCAAGAAAGCAAAACTACTCAGGAGAACACAAAAAAGACTGGAAGGAAGAAAAACAAAACACAAGACACATTCAAAAAGGTTAACTTAAATCTTTTGGTTGGAGAACACAAAAGTTACCACACACATTTGAGCTCCCATCAAGCTCAAATTTAACTTAACATTTAACTGCTCTATCTCAGCTGTTTAATGGAACCAGATGACAGCCTGGTCATACTGCCCTGCACAACCCTTTTCCAGGTCTTACACTTGTTTTCCGGGCCTGGTCTTCAGCAAGGACTATAACAAGAGGTGGGATGCAACAAGAGAAGAGAAAAGTCCTGCAGAGCTGCTTCTGTTTGCTCACTGCAACATAAAAAAGAAATGGCAGAGAGGAAAAAAAACAAAGACATGGAAGAGCTGTATTGTAAATCAGTACAAGGCAACAGACCACGCACATTGGACATCAGGGACAAGGAGACAACATGGAAAGCAGAGAACAATAACAGACAGGAAGAAACAAATAACACTCCATGTGAAATTTTAGTCCGTGACACCTTGGTAAAGAATCTTAACTTCAACCACGCTAGTATTTCACCTTCTGTACTTTAAATTAATCCATATCTACTTTCTGCTATAGCATGGCTGGCCCAAAGGCCAGCCTGAAGGCTTTCAGACTTGTAGACGGTGAAAGAAAACAAAAAACCTAAGAAGTCTCTACTTTCCTCCCTTCAAAGACACAAAGGCAAAGGGGATGACATATCCCATACAAGCTGAGCAAAGCAGAGGCAACATTGGAGGTCATTACACCACTAACAAGGTGAGCCCCTGACACAGTCAGACAGGAAAGTCGTACAGAGGTTGCTGTAATAGGTGGGATACACCCGCATGTGGCTGACATGAGCCGAATCCGAGAAGTCTACAGCTTTCACAGAGACATTGAGCTGCTGCCGGGCATCAGCCATGTGCTTAACGTCGCTGGCCTTGATGATGGCATCAGCCTGGGAATAGAGGTAAAGCTCAGGCCACCGCGAGGGTGCTTTCAGCAGGGCATCGTAATGGCTCTCGTGGATGAAGCGGGTCAACGGGTACAGCAAGATCCGCAGCACGACCGCTGTAGTAGCAAAAGCAAGTAAGAGGAAATACTTGAGCAGCACATTCGTGGATACCAAGACAGTTGCCAAGGCACGAAGGCCTCCTCTCAAGTTTCTTCTGCCAGGGGCACTATCAAAAATGGTGCCTGCTACTTTGAGGTTCTTAAATGGCTTGTGAGTGTGGAGCGCCTCAATGATGTAACGGTACAGCATGACACCACCGTTGCTAAAAACATGGAAAAGAACCGGTCTGTTTTCAATGCTATAGTCAAAGAGCAGCTCCAGTAGTCGCCTGGCTGGGGTCTGGAGAGATCTGATGCCAAAGGTCTCAGAGAAGAATATCATCCTCCATGGAGCCGTATAGCGGATGACGGTGCACCCCTAAGAAGAAAATAAATAGACCACACACACATTTAGACCATGATGTAAATTACGTGGAGTAGGCAAGCATCAGTACAAAGAACGTGGAAATTTGGGACAGGTTTCCAACAGAAACCACAGGGCCACAAGAAAGTCTTTAGTGTCAGTAGCAAAGCACGAATATGAATAGGATTATATAAATCCTAACAGCACACAGTATTAAGAAAATGTTTCTGCAGTAGCAGAAGCCTGAATTTGATGGTGTTTAAGATCCTTTCAAACCTTGTGCTAACTGGCACAGACCCTGGGGACATTGCCACCCATGCTTTTATAAGTGTTAGTCTCCACCCAGGAAGAGAAAAACATTTCCCCAATTCACAGACCTGCAGTATCAGCCATTTTGGTAAGAAGGGCCTGCTCTGGTACACATCTAGTTCATTACCTTGAAACAAACATAAGAAGGAGGCGGACCTTCTTCCTGTCCTTGGTTAGTACTTTTTTGCAGCTGTCTCTAAGACTCACTCGCAATCAACCAACACTGACATGATTTTCATAAGCTTTTCTGTAACACTCCAGCTGTGCAAATGAAGAGCACTGGTTCAGAGATTCAGAACACCTGTGCAATTAATTGCCTTTACAGTTAAGGCCTTATCTTTAGGTGTAGATTGGTGGAGGAGTTTCTAAATAGAGCAGATAGAACTACATTTATAAATGCTTTAGATCTTTTCTGGCACCTAAACTCACTGACATTACACACTGACAAACACAAGGCAAAGCCACCAAGACAGCCCTCCTGCCCAGAGCTCCCTGAACAGTGAACAAGGAAGAGGATATCAAGTTCTTAAAGTCTTCTGTAGCATCTTGTCATGGTTGCAGCCACTTCCTCATTAAGGAGCTAAGAAAACCTTTCCTCTCCCTTCCCATTCCTATAATCTTTCTGATAGAAAAGTATTTCCAAAAAAGGTGGCATGTAACATGCTCATGATCTGATCAGCAGCATCTCTTAGTCACAACAATCACTTAACAATTAATTCTTCACTAGAACAAGCCAATTCATCACTCTTGCACTGGATTACACATTAACAATAGATTTGTTAATGTACAAACTTTTCCACCTGCAGCTGAAACAGATTTGGATAAATAGAAGATCCTTGTATGCTGACAAAAACAAAGAAAAGTCTAGTATTTCCCCACGTCCCCACACTACAAGCTGGGATCATTCCAGTAAAACACAGTATTAGAAAGGAAATTATCATAACTTAGGGAACTAGCAATTGGACAGAGCTCTCTAATTCAAACACAAGTGGTGCCTAGTGAGCAGGTATGACTATCATAGGATGCCTGTTCCACAGACAGGATGAAACGAATTTAGATTACAACACTTAGATGAATCATATTCACAGGAAGGAAAAACCAAAGCAACAACAGATGCTGATGTGCTCTGTCAGTCCTCAGCCTTGCCTCGCCAAGTCAGTGCTATGGCCTATTAGTAAGCAGTAAATGCATAATCTGTCCCTGTATGTTTATCTGTTTGGAAAGCTAACACAGTTCATGTCATTCCTGAATACTCTCACACCTTTAAAAGCCTTAAAATATTCCAGCGATTCACACAACAGTAGAAAGTTTCACCAAGGAAGTATTTTTGTCTCAACTGCACGCACAAAGATGACATCAGCAACTGTTAGATAACGCAGACGGGGCTCCAAGAGACAAGGAGCTTTCAATGACAAGAGAACTCACCACTCACTCCAGTGACTCTTCAGACTGAGAAAGGCTTTAGAGTGATTTTACCAACATGCAGAAAAGTGGCAGTTTTTCAGACAGCTGTATGACAATGTCATCAAACTATAAATAACCTACTCACCTTCTGACTGTAGATTGCGCTGTATTTGGCCAAGTATTTGTCCTGGCAGCCTGCCCATCCTAAAAGAATCACCACAGGCTGACCATCTGCATGCCCTCTCTCCGTACTGCTCTCTGAAACAAAACACAAGATTTAAAATAATTGTTCTCCAGCCTACCACAATCAGAACTTACAGCAGCTTGCCCAGTTCATAAAGTTTAAAGGTAATGGTGAAGTGGATATTAGCTTAATTTCTCAGTCAGCTATGAATACTGCCTCATCCCGTTTCAGTATGTGGGTGTGCTCAGTAGGACAGCAGTTTCAATCCCTGCAGCTTCCCAAAACTCTCCAGGGATGCAAAGCCAGCAGCGTGCAGACCGCTACGGGGGGCAGAGACCCCCTCCTCACGAGCTGGGGAGGCCTCACAGACTGCTGCCTTCTTCCAGGCAAAAAAGGGAAACGTCCTGCCCTGCCCTCCAGGAACTACCAGACACTTGTTACGGAACAAATGCCCCCACGGCTCCCTCCCCCCATACCCTGAGGGGTCCCCCTCCACCTCCTCCACCCTCAGGGGTCCCCCAAGCCCGGTCCCCCGCGCCTCCCCCCTCAGCGGTCCCCAAGTCCGTCCTGTCACTGGGGTCCCTCGGGCCCGCCCGCACTACCCCTTCACCCTCGGGTCCCCCCAAGCCCGCTGGCCCCCGCACCGCAGGCCTCCCCCGGCGCCAGCTCCACCGCCGCCTCCAGCCCGCGGACCCCCATCGCCGCGCACTCCCGCCTCACTCCCCCCGCCGGCGCTTCCGCTCTCCCCACCGGAAGCTCCGCCCCCCCGCCCCTCCCGCAGCCAATGAAAAGGGAAAGCGCCCCCCCCGCCTCACTCTCTGTCCCACTCCCTCCCCGCCGCCCACTTCCGTAGCAACGCGCCCTTAGCACCCGGCCCTGGCTGGGCGCCCCGCCCACTGGGGGCGGAAACTGCTCCACCCATTGGGCCGTGGGGGCAAAGGCAGGCCGCGATTGGTTCAGTTGCGGTGTCAGTTATCCTGCGGGGTATCCGCCCCCTCAGGGAAGGTGAGAGGGAGTGAGGGGCTGAGGCACTGCGGCCGGGGGGGTTGTAGGGCCTGGGGTGGGTTTTGGGGTGTGGGGGAGCACAGGGCCTGTGGTTGGACTGGGTCAGGCCTGGTGGGATGGTTGGGCCTAGGAGGGGAATGTTGAGGATGCAGGGGATTAGGGGGGGTAAGGACTGAGAGGGATGTTAGGGGTCAGTGCAGGGCCCATTTGGGTGTGGGGGAGTGCAGGGGCTAGAGTTGGAGCTGGGTTAGCAGTGGGGCTGGAAAGCAGGACATGTAGGTGTGAGAGGTGGCGGGAGGGAGGTGTGGGGGAGCACAGGGCCTGTGGTTGGACTGGGTCAGGCCTGGTGGGATGGTTGGGCCTAGGAGGGGAATGTTGAGGATGCAGGGGATTAGGGGGGGTAAGGACTGAGAGGGATGTTAGGGGTCAGTGCAGGGCCCATTTGGGTGTGGGGGGAGTGCAGGGGCTAGAGTTGGAGCTGGGTTAGCAGTGGGGCTGGAAAGCAGGACATGTAGGTGTGAGAGGTGCCAGTGGGACTGTGGGTTAAGAGGGGCGGGGTAGGGTAGAAACGTGTTGGGATACTCTGGGGAAGATGCATTGTGTGTGAGGAGGGTTGGGGGCACTTGAGGTATGCCAGGAGAGGGTGAAACCTGCTGGGGAAACAAAAGCTCTAAGTTTTGCTGGAGGCTGGGCACGACCTTGATGTTGCAAGATGCAAAGGTGACACCAAATCACTGTCCTTCCGTGAGTCCAAGGCTATCAGTCCCTGGCACCGCACATTCGGACTGAGGCTGACACAGCACCAGTCTGCCTTTTGGTCTCAATCTGATGATTTAGCAGCACTCTGGATGTAAAGAACTGCTGAATTGCCAGAGCCAGTTCCTAAATCACTTGTGTTTTTCTTGGCAGGAATAAAGCCCTGCCCTGACCCAGCCTTGTTTTGATTAGGTCCAATGGACTGGGGTGACAGCCCAGCACTGTTGAGAGCAGAGTTTGAAGCCAACAAACAGGAGTTATGTGCTGATGCCAGCACTGACAAATGACTCAGGGAAGTCATTTAGCTTCCCTGTGTCTGTATGTTCCCATATGTAAAATGGTCATAATAAAAATATTCATGTACATTTTCAGGGTACTTTGCAATGTCTGCTTAAAGACTACTATGTCAGCAGATGCTGTTATTATAGCAGCCAGGGGCTGATACCACTGTATCCTCAGAAGCCTCATGCGATCATTGTTTCAAACTCTTCTCTTTTTTTTTACCATTGATTCATAGACAAGCCCTTTGTATCACTAAAATCCTCACGTCCAGAAGCTGGTGATGGTACTTCAGTATAGTGGGTGGTAACTGCAGCTTTATAATAAAAATAGAATAGCATTACACCACCAGCATCTTAAACATAAATATGGAAACATTAATTTAGAATCAATTTTGGGATGTTTCAGACTGTAAAGTTCTTTTAACTAGATCTCTGTTGAGGACAGAGGAGCACTTTATGGGACTGTAAATTTCATGCAAACAGTCTCTGTGAAATACAGATTCTCCCTGCACACTAGCTGTTCTCTCAATATCAATCATATGCCTTGCAAGTAATGTTTCACAAATATTCTGTAAATCACAGGAAAATGTTCGCAATAATGTGAAATATGACTTTCACTTGACTGTTTCACCAGAGGCCCCTAACAGGCCATTCTCCTGTCAGCACTAACATTTGTTATGGCTAATAACATTTTCAATCACAACTATTTTGGGAAAATGGATTTATTTTAAACCTGCTTCCCTGCAAAGGAGATCCTAAAAACGTCCTGCCAAGGACACAGACTCCTTACAGAGCACAGACCGTTAATTCCCAAATGAAATTTCATCTCATCTTAATTCTCAAACCTTGTTTCTTAGCCATGTGTTTGAAGACTTTGTTTGTTTTCAGGCACTGATGTACACCTTCACCTCTTGGTCATTGCTTTCAGTCTGGTTCAGATAATAGCAATAGAAAGTTACTTTTGAGCAGGTATCTTGGGGATATTCTGGAACTGATGTGGGATTTTGCTCCAGATTCTAGGAGAAAAGGCTTAAGAACTTTGTAGATAGGAAATTGGTAATCTTGGCAACTTGTATTACATTGAAAGAAACTTCTTATTCTGAGACCCAAAGATTTTGTGTAATTTTAACTTAATCTCTCTTAAACCACACTTTAAATAAAACCTAAAATGGTGCTTTTCTTATGTAGGAAGTCCAAGAACTGTGTTAGACAAGGTGTGAATTCCTTTCTCATCCTCAGGCATGTTGATACAGCTTGGTGGAGGACAACGCACCTGTGTTAATGCAGCTGTCTGTGACCTTGTCCCTCTTTCTGCGTCTGTGCATGTACACAGATACTGATGTTTAACTGCGAGGCTCCTTGAGATTGGTCAGTGTCTTAAAGCCAAATGCATACATGCAAGTGAAATTCTCACCTACTGAATGAACAGAGTTTTATCTTCTGACACTTATCCCTCTACTAAGTGCGCCTTCACTTTTGCCGGGCTGGAACAGGGGATATCATACTGAGCCAAAAGCGTGCAAAAGAAATTTGGCAAAATATGAATTGCTTTATAGAACACCTCTGTGAAGGGATGGAAGGAAGTGCAGGCAAGGGACGTTTCTGGAGCTTCTTCTGTTGTCTTGCCTATGGTTCATTTCAGGTTTTCTTAGATTGTTTAAAAACATGACATAGAAAATAGGTAAGAAAAAAACAGTGCAAACGTGTGTCATGCCAAAGGGTCCTAAAGCGCTCTCCCAGTGCCAAGGCCAAGCACATCTTCCTGGAGTGGATGTGGGCCCAGTCCCAGACTGTCGCTCCATCACGTGAGTGAGGCCACGCTGCACTGCTACGCTAACAGGCATTTACAGCCCCCTTGACCCTGTCACTCCCCATAAATCCATACCTATTTGTGCTCTCATTTCACCCTATTTACTCTCTGGCAGGTGAGATATGAGATGCAGTGTTCATATCATGAGGCTAGTGAGAAACCGAGGCTGGGGGAATGGGTGACATCAAAATGACTTTATTAACAGAGCAGAGAAGAGAGATCCTGTGGTGAAACCACCTGCCCTGCAAAATAATCTCAAGTCTGTCGCAGATTCATCGTGCAGCTTCAGACATACCAGGAACTCTCTCTTTGCCTCGGGTTTCCTATCTGTGAAATGAGTATAAAGGAAAATGAGATTAAATTAATGGCTAGCAAGTGTTTTAATATTATTTGCCAGAGATTTTAAATGTGGTTCTGGTGGTAATTCCTTAGTACAGACTTTATTCTATTTTCAAAATGCTTTTTTAACTTCTCACTTTTCTCTAGGCAGAAGAAATCATGACTTCTGTCAAAGAGCAGGAAGCCATCAGGAAGCTCATGGTTTTCTTGCAGGAATGGGATAGTGCCCACAACGTTGCTCGAAGCCGCATCCTGAATGACTTCATTAAAAGCAACGATGGCAACACAGAACCAGAGCTGGAGCTGGAGTTCTCCCAGGGAGCCAGCTTGTTTCTGGCTCGCCTAACAGCATGGCTCAGGATGACGTATCTGTTTCCTTGGACAGCTGGAGGTGGCGTGTGATAGTGGGAAGGGAAGGTTCTCTACCGAAAATTTGTTTAAAAATTAAGCTTCTGTATGGAGGCGTCCATATCCAGCTGTGTTCTGCAGGGGGGAGGAAGTGGCTATCTAAAGACGGAACTGAAGAGAGAGTCATGTCTGTCAGAAACATAGAATTAGTGTTTTTCCTCATATTGGGATGAGTGCTGCCTCTGCACACCTGTGAGAGGAAGGTCCATGCTCTCTTGCAGAGAGAGTACCCAGTTCAGACCTCCACACTGCCAAAAGGCAGCCTGAGGGACACCATGATGGTCTGTAAATCTCTCCTTAGCCTTGTCAAACAGCTACATGTACAGCACGTGCCTCGACAAGCTGCTCAAGTCCATTGGCATCTTCCTATCTGCTGCAAGTGGGTGAGTACAGAATGTCACTGCGTGAGAGGTGCGGTGGGAAGGGCACACAAGGGTGAGGGGGTGAATAAAGAAAATAACAAGTCATTGGCGGTCTTTTGGGAGGGCTGTGTAAGCATTTCAGGCAAGGCAGGCCCCAGTGAGGCTTGTGGTAGGAATTTCAAATGCTCTCAAAAACCAAATCCACTGCACCGCTGCCACCGGGTCACTGACACAATGTGGAAGGAGTGTGGTGAGAGCCTGAGTGCGGGGACGGGGCTTTCTGTGCCAGTGGTTCAGTATCTGAAACGAGCACAGGGTAAAACGGGAGCTGGTGACCTGGCCAGTATTTGTCTCTATGCTCCAGGAGGAACCTCCCTGTGTTCGCTGCCCGGGCACCCGGTGCAGCGAGGCAGGAGGTGATGGTTCCCAGGAGCACAGCGCGCTGACAGAGGAAGATGGGCTCCAAGGCAGGTGACATTTTTGGCTTTGTTCCCCCTGTCCTTGCAGGCGTAGATACCTTATTGAATTTCTGGAGATCGGAGGTGTCTTGATTCTCCTGGAAATACTAGGGCTGAACCACCTGAAAGAAGAGGACAAAAGGGAGGCTGTAAAGCTGCTGCAGCTCGTCGCAAACGCTGGCAGGAAGTATAAGGAGCTCATTTGTGAAAGCTACGGTAAGCGACGTGTCCATCCGTGCTTTTTCCTAATTCAGATGAGGATGTTCTCCCTGACCTCTGGTCCCCGGGGCTGCTTGCCGTGCTCCCTTCCCTCCACCTGCCAGATGGCAGATTGCCGCAGCGTTTGTCTGGCTGGAAGGAGTTCAGAGTCTCGGCTATTGTTGAGCGGTTGCATTTCATCCCCTCTCTCAGTTTTTAATGAGCTCACTTTCTTTACAGTCATTTCTTTTGATGTGATATTGCTGTCCTGCTGGTTGCAAGTGCTCCAGTTAAACCACAAAATAGTTTCCATTCTTACCTGCAGCATTCACCTACTGCAAACTTTCCCAGACTTCCCCTCTGGGGGTGGGAGGGTTTTTTGGCTAGTGTCTTTTGAAAGAGCATTATAAATTTTTTATGTTTTTTTTCTTCTCCTGGATAGTGGAAGCCAAACCCCATTAGTTGTCCTGTTGTCTGGATTATGGTGTCGGAGGCTATGGGGTGATACCTGCCATCACAGCTTCTTCCAAGGGAGACAAAGCGGCAGGATCGGCAGTGGGATCCTTAGCAGCACTGTTGGCATCCCAGTGCCAGAGTCTGCTTGTGTTATATGCCCACAGAAGGGCCTTGGCCACCTACTCCAGCTGAGAATTTTGCCAACTGGTTTTCCAGTTGGTGGTGTGGCTCCTGACAAGGCCAAAGAGTTTTTTTACTGGCTTCTGTTATCTGACCTTCACTGGATGTGGTGCTGGGTTCTTTTGGGCTGTCAGTGAAACACCTGAGGTGGGTGACCCAGACTCAGGACTTAAGTGTCCCTTTCTCTGCACAGGGGTGCGATCCCTCGCCGAGTTCTTGGCCGCTTCCAACTCAGCAGAGGCTCAAGAAGACGTGCAGGTTCTGCTGGACTCTTTGGGCCACGGCAATCCCAAGTACCAGAACCAAGTGTACAAAGGCCTCGTTGCCGTGCTGCCGTGCGCATCCGCCCGAGCCCAGCAGCTGGCTCTGCAGACGCTCGTGGTCCTGCAGGTGGGCAGTGGGTTGGGCTGGGGGTGAGGGGCAGCATCAGCTCCCATGTCTATCCTGGGCCAGTCTCCTTGGTGTTGGGGGCTGCACTGGGCAGCCCCTGTGCCTGGAAGAGGACAGCCTGGAGTACTGTCAAGACCATCCTTGTCACCCTGCCCGTTTTCCCCCAGGACGTGGTGGGAGAGGCGCCCTCCATCATTGTGGAGCCCGTGCTGGGCGTGCTGTGCTCAGTGCACCTGGAGGTCCAGTATGAAGGTAGGACCCGTCCAGACACCCAGGGTGATGGCCGAGGGGGCGTGGGGGACCCGCGGCTGGGGACTGCCATCTCCAGGCGTGGACAAGTGCGGCGGGGACGGAGGGCAGAGGAGGAGCAGCCTCGGCCCGTGCGGCTCCGGGTCCCCCGGACCC